TTCCCCGCTGCTTTATTTTTAGAGGTTTAATGTTTTTTCCTGGCAGGCTGACAGCACGGGGTTTCCGTGATTTCTCCCTCCCCGCCCTTTCGCTTTGGTGGCCCCATTTCTAGGTCCCTGGCCAGCTGTTCCCGGTGCTTTGCCCGGCTGGCTCGGGAGAGAGGCCGGGTTTGGGAGTCGCTTCCTTCCCTCTCCCTCCCCTCCCTCTCCCGGAGCTCTTTCAAGCCCAGCTCCTTTTCTCCCTCCTTCCCCGCGGTTTGCCCTAGAGGCAGAGGGAAGAGGCCTCTGGCATGTCAGGGATGCATCATGCCCAAGCCTCGCTGCAGCACCAGAGAGTGGGACCAGTGAGGACGCAGATGAGGAACCAGCTCTGGGTGGAGGGGCAGCCCTGGCGAAGAGATTTGGACTAACCTCTCCCCATCTACTCGTAATCAGATCCCTCCTCCCTTTCCTTTCTACACTTTCCCTGGCTGACTGCAGAGCCCTGGCATTTTTCAGGAGCCCCAGTGAGTCAGCAGCACCTGCAGGTCTGCTAAAATCCCCGAAGCATCCCTCAGCACAGAGGCTGCCAGGCTGCAAGCCCGTACGCTGTCTCTGAGCTGCCAGGGAAGGGGCATGCAGGGCTGCTGAAAGGCTGGATCTCGTTTCTTTCCAGGACAATGGGCATCGGGGGCGTCAATGTCCCGCTGGAGGAGAAATCGAGGGATGCACAGGTGGCCTCTTACATAGGAATCTACGACACAGAAGGGGTGCCCCACACCAAGAGCGGGGAGAGACAACCCATCCAGGTCAACATGCAGGTATGAGGTTCTCCACACAGTGGGAGCCTGGCATGGGAAGACAAGGGAGGGCAGCAGAGGGTTGACTCCCAGGGAGAGGTGGGGAGGTGAAATATTCCAGAGCAAAGTCTGATCACAGCTGCTGCCCTCCTCTTTGCTTTGCATCAGCCAGAGCATAGCTGGAAAATACAAGCCCTCCTTCCCAAGGGGAAGCCAAGAGAGCAACAAAGGCCAGGAAGTAGGAGGGCGATTTCTAGAGACCTGCAAAGCCCTTTGGGGTGTTGCAGCAGAAAGAAACACGAGCTGAACTTCTTGCCTCTTCTGCAGGACATATTACAGACTTCAGGCCACTCCCACCAAGGTCTCTGGCTAGGAATCCAATCCCAAGCCCTCGGCATGCAGGGAACCTCCTTTTGCCTGCCAGCACTGCCAGTTTTTTTTGAGCAGACTATGCCCCAAGCACAAGGGATGACTACTCTCCCCTTCACCTGTCATCTGTAGGATGCCTCAGGGCCTGCCAGAGGCTGAAAGCATGGGTGAGAACACCACCCCCTGCCTCCAAGCCTGTCTTCTCACTTTCTTTCCCCATATACTTCCATTATCACCTTATCTCTGCACCTGCAAACCTAAGTTCTTACTCAAGTGGCTCCTCACCCCAACCTTAGAGAAGCTCCAAGGGCCAGAATCAGCACATGCCATGGCCCCAAAGTGAGATGACAAAGGCTCAAGCCTGTAAGGCAGCAGAGCTGACAGAAGACTGGAAAAACCTCCATAGCACTTTTTGAGTAGCGTTTGGGGTGCAGCAGGAGATTTGTTTTGGCTTTGGTTTGGTGTTTTTTTTCCCCTCTGCTTATTACAGTTGAGAGGCATACTGTTTACTCTATCCCTCCTGTACCAAAAAGGGGAAATGAGGCAGTAAGCCATCTTCATCTGAAGCTCTTTCAAGGGTCTGTTCCAATTTGTACAAGTTTAGGATCATGCCAAGCCCATCGGATTTTGGCTTTTTCTTACATTTGCTCACTGCACTCAATATTTCATCTTGATCTTCACTATTTTTTTTCTGGAATCATCATTTAGCATGGCAATCCCCTTCTGAATAAGAACTGTAACATCTCCATTTGGAGCTTCTAATAATTACAGCATGTGTAACTTAATTTTGGAGACCCATATCACATTAACAGTTACCACTTCATCATCTTAGGTTAATAAGACTACCATGAAGCATTTGTCCATGTTAATCGCTTTTCTATAGTCACCTCCTTTTAACACCCAGGAAAACCAAACACCCAGTACGACTTCTCAATCAGCCGAACAAGGCTGCTGGATGCCACTGTTGAGTATTGCAGTTGTATTTCACAATGTCCTTATACCAGGAGGTGAAAGGACATTGCTCCCAAAAACCCATCAGCTGCTCTGACTAAAAACCACCAGCTGCTTTGACTAGGGCATCTCTATTTTGGTAGCCACACGGATGGTACCCTCAAGCATAGCACTGATGTGAACGCTGTAAATCTGGAAGGTTAACTTTTCATACGGAGAAAACCAAGTCAAGTCACAAATGAAGTCATCCCAAGAAACGCAAAGAGGGTCTGATTTTCAGATACAAGCTCCAAGCTGGTTTGTTGCAGCATTAGAATGAGTAGCCACAATATTTGTCCAAACAGTGGCTTTTACAAATCAAATCCTGAGATGCTAACCGTGAAAATAACAGGATTTGCAAGTAGGTCCTCAAGCCCTTTTAGGATTTGATCTTGATAGATCAGTTCTTCAATGCAGGCTTAGATGTCCACAGTTGATACTTTTAAGTATCAAATACAGGGAATTCAACAGGGCTTTAGATGTTTAACTCATCATTTAGCTGCTTAGCTATACAGAGCCGTAACAGATTTAGAGAACAGCCTCAGACACCTCGGCCTGAAAACTGCTTCTAATACCAACTTCCTGAATCTTCAAAACTGGGCTTACAGTACACAGCTTTAAATTTTCCCATTTCCTTCTACTATGAGGAACTTCTGCCTCCACTTCCTTTTCTAGAACAGGCAGGATCCTGATGCCTCCTGCGAAGATAAGGGCACTATTTAAGGCATAAAATCTGAACTCACATTAGAAATAGACTGTGATGTCACTCCTGCAGTTAAAAATCGGTCTGATATTGCCAATTTAATGCATAAATCCAGGAAGTCCATAAGAATTTACTTCCCATCTGCTTTAAAACTTTAAACAATTCTTTGTGCTCCTACTCTAACTGGCTGGTAGATGTCTTACATGTATAAACTATGGCTGTGACAGGTGAAACAGTAATCCCATTTCTGAGCTCCAGAATCTGAGGATGCATTTGTTACCTGAATGCTCAGGTATGCACACTATCCAGAAACTGCTGAACTGCAAATGCTGTAAACTAAGTTAGAAACCTCACTTTGGATCTCATTTTATTCTTGATTAGACTAGATTAAGATTGAATAAAGAAGCCAGACCTCCATTCCCACAATAAATAGCCATCGAATCATCCTAGCATGCAAATTCAGAGGGAATGATTAAATCCCTATTCATGCCTGTAGCAGTGGATGATAGAGAACAGCAGACAGGGAAATAGGCTTCTAAGCCTGACCTACAAAGAGCAGGGCCATCTCTCCTTCCTGGGAAGCCTGTATACAGGCCCAGTGGAGGAGCCAGGATCCAGCTGCAGGAGCCACAGGAATTCAGGGGAGCTCTGAGGATGCAGAATGTGCATTATGCCACAGAGCTGCTGCATCTGCTAAGTACTGGACTGGGGGGTAGGCACATGGCAGTAGAAAAGCTCTGCAATAAATTCTTTCCTTCTCCTGGAATCCACAGCAGCCAAACTACTCAGAGCAGCTCAGCAAACTGGGTCATTGGAGGAAGACAGAATTTGTTTTCTTGTCTTGTTGGATTCAGATCCTCCATACATCAATGAAATGAAATGCTGCTCTTGTATCATATCCCCTTCTACAAATGCTATTAGAAATGCCTCTTCTTCCTCAGTTTCCAGACTGAGGGTGGCTGATGCTCCTCTGACAATTTCTCTGTGTGGATTGTGCACGGTAACATCCAGTGTGCTTAACCTCTACTGTCTTACATTATGAGTGTATCGGGATTATTATCAGAGATGATTAATTAAAAAAATAATCCTTAATTAAGGTTTTAGTTGCTGGGAGAGATAAGATAGCCTATATATCTGATTCTCTTTGTCAAAGGAAGTGGCAGAAATATTTCAGCCTACTCCTTTAAGGTAACGCTTGCAACTGGAGCCAAATAAAAACCTTCCACTGACAGCACGCAGCAACTCCTGCTGTTGTCAAGGCTAAATTTAAGTTACCACAGTGGGCTGTGGGAAGGCTTAAAGCAATGTCCATTGCACAGCAGCAGCTTACAAACCACATCTTGAATTAAAAAATAAAAATGTACGTCCTTCTGGAAAAAAAAACAGATACAGAAAGCTCTGCTTGCAACTCCCTGAGTCGCTGTGTAGAAGGGCTTTCACACTGACTTTGCAAGTGTAATTATAATAAGCAGATGATCAAAGGTCAGCTCCCAGGCACATGATGAGAATGGAAAATAGTCAAGTGAAGGAGCTGTCATTGAAGCGAGTGATGGAAATATTTAAAAGGAAAAAATGTTGAAGAACAGAGTGTTGTTCAGTAGCGCTGAATCCACTAAAATCTTCTAACAACATAACACAATCAACAAACCATACTACTGGGCCAACAACAATGCATATAGGCTTCATCCCCACACTTTGGACTCTCCACAAGGTCTCAAGGCACAGGAACTCAAATTTTACATCATCATAACTGAAGTCATGATCTATCCTTGTAAGCTTCATTCACAGGGTTTTTCTGATACTGCAAGGGTATCTAGCAATGGCTTCAAAAAGTGAGAGATTTTATTTTATAGAACTTAGTATAGCCATAGCCTCATTCACTTGAAAGCTACACATGCAATCAGACAACCTGCAGTCAGTGTCTCACATCCCTTCACTGTATTACTTATCTGCTAACGTGCTGATCATCTCCTTTCTAGCCTCTATTACTCATACCTAAGTTTGAAAAGCTGCACTATCACAGTGCGACTAGCAGTTACAGAAATGCACAAAGGAGAACTTCTTCTGCTGAAGTTTTGTGTAAAATGCAGAAAAGAATCCCAGAGAAGGAGTAAGTGGTCTTTTACCAGCATGTCTCAGTCAAGACACTGCAGACACAAGGTTAGGAAATACAGACATTAAAGATTTCCGATTGAGCAAAAGAAGGAATCTTCCCAGTCGTAACTGCAGCCTCTAGGTATGGTACAGAGGTGAAGTGATGGCCAGCATCAGTACAGATCGCTGCTCCGTGATATGCATATACAAACCACTTTGAGACCATCATGCCAACTACTGCTGTGGCATCTTACAAAGGATTACAGCTTTGATTCTTGCTGTTGGTAACATTTTACCCATATGAGAACTTGAACATTTTTACTCCCTTGCCTTTCCCAGATACCAGTGCAAGAGGACAGTACATGGAGAATCTGGTCCTTCATGTTTTGTGTGTGCCTGGGCACAAAAGACTTTATGACTGCTAGAGCAGGCTTTACAGATCTTTGATTTATTGACTTGCGGAACAGTAACCCTTACATCAGCTGGTTTACATCCTGCAGTTTAACAGTGTTGTTTAACAGTGTTGTTTCTCATTAAGAGGGAGAAACCAATAAAATAATCAGCTCACTAACACTGATATTCCCTCTTCCTCACAGTTTAACGACATTGGCGTTTTTGAAACAGTCTGGCAAGTCAAATTCTACAACTACCACAAACGGGATCATTGCCAATGGGGAAACAGTTTCGGCAGTATTGAGTACGAATGCAAACCAAACGAAACGCGCAGTCTGATGTGGATCAATAAAGAGACCTTCCACTGAAGAGATGTGAAACCAATACTGCTGGACAATCTCCCTAAAGAAAAATCTACCTTTTTAAACCAGCAAGAAGCCTTAACCAAGGCATACTGTAACATTGCTTTGTTCCAGAAGGTTCCAACAACTATGCTGTATATACAGGTGGTGCCACTAAAATCTTTGCCTATTACTGTATTTTAAGTTTACTATGGCATCTGCTATATTCTTTATCCGTCACCCTGAGAACACTGTAAAGTTCATGGTAAAGAATATCTGATAGTTGGATAGAAAGTCATACCATCATAATATTGTCGTAAGTATTTGGATTATGCCCACTAAACAGTTCCACTAGAGGTAACAACTTTTGTAAGCTGTTTTGCTTTATTGCTTAGAATTTGGATGCAACATCTCATCAGTGATTTCTGTATTTATATTTGTGTTTGCTCCTAAATCGGTGTGCTCCTTCAAGCATTTTGTCATACATGTCATCCCAGTGGACAGCAAAAAGTGCAAATTATGGATATTTGTAGGTTTAGCTAAATGGCAGCTACTGCACTGTTGATATTGTGTTTTCATGCCAGGGGATTTGGAAACTCATTCTCCCTGTAAGATATTCTGTGAAGTTTGCTAATTTACTAAATCTCTCAAAATAGGATTCTTCATTAAGTTTCCCAGTCTCTGAAATAACTTTAGGAAACAGTATAAAATGTGCTAACCTGAATGAAGGAAAAGCAGCTGTGGTATCAAAACCATCTAACAACATGGGTAATATCTATCTTAAAATCATACAGTATTCTTGAAAGATATAGCAGCCATACTTAATTTAGTTCTTAGAGTAAGAGTTCTGAGGGTAATCTCCATTTTTGTTTTAATGACACATTCCACAAATCAGTGAAATCCTGCAAATCAACTTTTTCAAGCCTGACCACTGTATTATACCAAAATCGACAGGATTTCTAACCTGCACTCAGCAGTGTCAAGAGAGTGCAGATCCCAGTGCATGTTTATACATGCACTGCACTCTTTCAAACAGAGATGAGCATGTAAGCATTTGCATGGTTATGACTCAAGGTGCTACATAAACACTAAACCAGTGTTTAACACATACAGACAATGGAAGTCAAACATATCTTTTCCTTTGGTAAATAAAGCAGGGAAACAAATATACTGCCCCATCCCCAACTTGGGCTGAAGTAAGCTGTCGGTTCTTGCGTGTCTGTTAGTTCCTTTGTGAATAATTTGTAAATTGTATATGTAAATGGTAACCATGACTTTTGATCTTTGTAATAAAGGACTTCAACAATTTCTTCTCTAGTACGACCATCTAAATGAGTCAGAAATATTGTTAATCAAAAAAGGCAGTGGTTTTAAAAAAATCAGGCAGCAGAGGGTACATAGTCAGTGCTTTATGAGAATCCAAAATACGTCATAATCTTTACCCAAAGCTACTGTTTCTAGAAAATAGAGATCAAATGTGCTAGAATGCAGAGAATTAATGTGGTAACACTCAACAGAGCTTACTGATCAAATTCAACAGCATTTTGTTGCTTTAACATAGTGTGGAAAGTAGAGATTCAGGACAGAAGTGAAACACCAAAGAAATATTTTCTTCCATTGAATTATTAATCAAAAAAATGGACTGTTTGCAGATTTCTACTGAGAAAAGAGCCTCACAGTAGCACTAATGTAATACACGGCTAGAGCAACAAGCTAGCCAGCTCCATCTCCACTTGGAGGCAATCTTACACAGGCAAATTTCACTGCAATGAAATTCTAGAAATAATCTGTGTTAACTTCTTTCCTAGACTTTTCCTAGACTACAGAAAGAATTCTTCAAAATGAAAAAAAAAATCAAACGGAACAAATTCAAATGACATCTGGACTTCAGACAGAAGTGTTATTGCCAGCGCTTCAGCAGAAGTTTCCAGATAACAGGCTTCAATGATACCAAACTTCCAGCTGTCAATCAATTCTATCTCTGCACTACTAGAAAGCTGGTTTATTCTGCAACAGTTGGCATACTTGGGTTCATTTTGTTTGTACAGATGAACGGAAAGCACATCAGCAAGAAATATGTATGACAAATTAACAGAGAAACTTCTGTCCTGCTAAAATTAAAATATGTAAGACAGGCTTTCACTTTGAGTTCAGCTTCTATGAAATCCTTGGCCCACGTCGTCCTAGCTCTCCAGCACTGAAGAAATGTTACAATAAATAAATCTAGCCTATCCTGGCACAGGAGAGCTGTAATTCCCAGCTAGCTGAAAGCACCCTCATCCCAAGGTAACTCATGCCCATATTACAGAATCATAGAATGGTTTGGGTT